TAATTACGCTCTCATAATTTTCCAAGTTTTATAGAATCATTTCCTATTAATCTTGATTAGTTTTTTAATAATTTATTAATTATTAATCTTAATTCTTAATTAATTAAAATTATATCTTACCGTGTATCTTTTTCAATCGAAGTCATTCAATTTTTCCCTGATCATTTGTAGTTTCCACATTTGCAAATGCAGCATCCTTTCCATAATTTAATAACTAATATTTCCTTATGAAGGTCATTTTTTACTGTCACTTTATTTAAGAAAATAATTGTTTTAATGCACCAACTTGATAGATTCTAGTCCTCTTTAATTGCCGCACTAACAGTGCTAATACTTAGGTACATAGAGTTTTAGTGATTCTTTTCATCGGTGTTAGAGTATGGTATTGTCTACCCAAGAATTAGTCTCCTAGACGAATAATTCTTTTACAAACAAAATTCTAATTCCGTAACATTTGAATAGTTGATACTCTTTCATCGTACAAATTTTTAAATTGCATTATTATAGAATGTTTTAAAAACAAAATAATACACTTACAAATAATGAATAATTGTTCTTCATTCGTTATATGTTTGATTCTGAAAGATGTATAAAAATTGAACTCTTGAAAAGTTTGTAAGAATGCAACACTATACAGAATTGATATAAAGATAATTAACCTATGGATACATAATCAATCTGAATAAACTTCCTCATGGATCTAATTTTATTTTTTACTGCACGCAATGCGTCACCATGAAAATAAGTCAGAATATAATATTCTTTCAAATTATAAAAATTTTGCATTTTGACGCAAGATATTAGCACATAAATAATGTAATTCGTCAAATGTACCCAAAAGGTTAAGAGCAGGAAAAAAAAACTTAGCATCGATTGGACGGGAGTTAAAGTATATTATATTATTGATAAAACATAAAATAAAGAGTTAAATATTTCATCACGTTATTAATGAACTGCAAGTGATAACAATAGTTTTAAATAGTAAATTACGCTTGTAAAATATATTCATCAAACTATTGTTTCATAATGTATTTTCAAATGAAGACAGCCTTATATAAACAATTTTCAATGTAATATTATGTTGAAAAACATAATATCAATTTAAAGTAATAATTAACAAAATAATTTTTCGGTTAGACATCAATACAAAATTGTTTAAATTAACATTTTATATTTCCTAGGTAACTTTCATTTTTCACGAAAGAAAGAAGCGAACATTGTGTAATTTAAGTTTGGAGTGAATACTTGTAGTAATTAGATTGAAACATGTTCGATAACATCTGTGATATCCAATATGATAATCTTTGTTTGATGTATCTAAATAGATGGCTTTGAAAAAGAAAATATCGTACATAGAAAAACTGTTTTTAATAACAACCATAATATATTTTTAAATAATTTTATTTTTGACAAAAGGCATTACTGTTTCTATGTAACGTTTTAAGAAATAAAAAAATACATTCGAGGATATGTCAATTGTTCTTTTGTTTAACACTAAAACTACCAAGCATTTATTGGAGTTGATATATAATTCTTATAAAGATTGAAACAATAGATTTTTTTCGATTTCTTCAGGCATTTGTTATAGTATTTAAATGAAATTATTTATTTCCAAAATCGTTTCAGATATTCAATACTTTTAAAATATCAATAAATGTACAATAAGAACATTACCACCCATCTTGACGGGTTCGGTAATTCTAACATTAATTACAGCTTATAATTAAATTTGCTTACAATTATTAATTATATTATTTTCATAAAAGTGCGTATAGGTAAGTATTGTAATAAGAAGCGAAAGCAGTGGAAAAACGGCTGAAAAATGATAACTATAAAATTTGAGATCCATCAAACGAATGGGTTTCATAAATTTAGTATCAGATACTATTCTCCAATTAACTAGAAACGAAACAAGGCATGCTCATCTTCGGTAGTGCAACGTGAAAAAAAAACTCTTCTATTGACACGTAATGCGTACTTTTAAAACCGCGTCATAACATGGCAATAAAGCCTCGAAAATAACCGATTTGCAATTCGCAACATGGCACGCAGTCGTGCGAGTTTAATTTTATAACGTTATGATGTGCGCTTGACAGAGATATTTCCGGTTTTTCGCTCCTTTGCATTGCGTGCCGAGATAAATTAAAAGGATATTATCTGAAGCTAAGTCGTTTCATAATTGTGGCGCTGGTCGATTAAAGTGCATCGTACAATGTGAGTCGTAATCAGTGTCAGTTTATGATAAATATTCGCTGTAGCATTCTCTGATAGGTAATTGACAGTAATATAATTACGGTTAATAAATTATTATTACAAAAAGAGTATAATGTAAAAATTAACTCCAATTAATGAATGCTTTTAAATTACTATACAGATTTTGAAGCGTTTCGTGTAGGTAATATTATTTCATTTCATAATCCTTCGAGTACACATACGGTAACTATATTAATTTCGTTTATCACTTTTCTTCTTATGACTTTCTAGTTTTATTATGCTGTGCCCATAACTTATCTTACTTCAATGTGTGATGGTATAATTAAAGTTTAATAGATTATTACATATAATGATATAATACAAACTTTTTTTTAACTATTAATTTATGTCTTAAAAATATTACGGTTAATTTGAAATATTATGCATTTATAGCAATATAGAATTTATACATGTTTGCTTTGATTGTTTATATCGTATTTTATTAAACTGATATTCTCTTGGGTGAGTACATATTTATAATACACTTGGATTTGTATAAGCTAATGGCTGCAGAAGATATTAATATGTAGTTTGCCAAAAATAAAAATCATAGAGCCACAATTAAATTTAATTTTTTTATTAACACCAACCACAGTTCATTATTATAATAATATCACCAATTTTTCCTCATATTTACAATATTATGTTTCGTGGATGATCTGATTTTCACATAACAAACCTTCAAATATCAAAATCAACTTCTGCGTATTTACTTTGATAGTGTTGTGTGTTAGCTAACTGTAATTTGCATTAACATAACAGTGCGTCATGTAAACCTGTAATACAAGAATGCTTTTCTACGCAATGACGATAAGATATCTGAGTAATGCAAACGTAACGTTTTATAATCGTATTGCCCTAAAAGTAAAGTCTGAGAATTATTATCTCTAGTACGTCTTTAAAATATCATTATTATGATATATTTACTTTAAATATGCAGTTAAATACCACGGAAAGTTTTTGCGATAAGCTAAGGATTACGATTAGATCGTTGAGATTAAACCACGACCAACATATTTTTGAATCAATAATCTTTTTCTGATAAATCATATTTATACGTTTATAGACATGAAATTAAACATAGTTTTATTTATTATCCTGTGTTGTTTGTAAAGTTTTCTTTATTTTAATTCACGAAGTAACAATGTCCCTATAAACCAGACTTTTAACATTATTACAATTAAATCGTTTAGTTCATTCCTTATGAATGCATACTGTTTTCTTGGTACACAAATTGAGGATATATGAACTTGGCATATGATACAAACATTTTATAAATAAAATGTTAACAGAATTATTGCGAACATTATTCCAATGTCTTTTATAAATTGTCTTTTTAATTTTGTCGGTGTATCTACTTTTAATTATATGATTTTAATAATTATTTTTGTATTGAACATTTAGTAGTACAGACAAAATTCAGTTGAATTATGCATAAATGTATTTAGTATATACATTATAAGCATATTAGATTTCCAAATTACAATTCTTGAAAAATGTATAAACATATAAATAAGTAGTAATACTTGAAATAGTAATTTTCATTCACGTGTAATGAGAATTGAACTTCACGTTCCTAAAGTTGACGAAATGATTTTAAACATTATAAATTATAATGTCAACAATGCCAAACAACATGGTTAACATATTGACTTTTATAATTACATTCACATTTTCGTTTGTTAACAAATCCAATACAACAAAGCAACCTATTTAAAAAATATAAATATATTACGTTTAATATTAATATTCATCTTTACCACAAATAATTTGAGGACGTTTATTCTATCATTGAATTACTCATAGTAAAAATAAATTAATATTAAATATAAAATCTTGAAACTTTCGAATACGTCACTCGCTCGTATTAAATTTATTAATGAAATCTGAAAACGTTTATTCCACTGAATTATATCATAAATTCGTTCAAGTGTATCAAACATTTTGTCATTAGCTTCATGTAATAATAAAACAACTCTCCCGCATTTTTAAATTGACCATAAACAGCTTTTTAATACTAAAACCACCAGACGGGTTAAAATGACCCGTTTCTAATTTCTTCTTTTTGCAATTATTAAAAAGGTAACAAATGTATCTTTAAAAAATTATTAAAGAAATTGACTCAATACTACGCAAACTGAAATTTAAATCAATTAAAGTCTCAAAAGATGCACTGTTGTAGCTTTTACAGAGAAATTTCAAAAACACAATTTAACTGCTCGGTAGATTTACCGTTAATCGCCACAATTATCCACATTTTCAATAAATTGCAATAAAATTCTCAAAATTACAACACACTCAATCAAACTTATTTGCATTACCACCTAACAGAATCAAAACTCCACATACCAACGCAACAAAGATCCCAAACATCAAACGACACAATCGAACCACGCAACAACCTAGCAATACATCCCATCTCGTCGAAACATAATTACAATCACGACGTTAGAATCGGCACGGTCCATTAAAGACGTACGAATCCATTATCCGGCGCTGCAACGTGTCAAGGATAGCCGCGATCATGAGTCCGCGGATCGGGCCATCCTCCTGGATCGTGCCAGGCAAAAACAGACGGTTGCTTGCTTACCCACGCGCCGTTTTGAATGAGTTTTTTGAGAGAAGAACACTTGGTGGGGTTACGATGATGAAGAGGTTGAAGGTGGCGGAGGTGAGAAAGGGGGGATTCGCGTGTCGATTGGGGGGAGGACAGCGGTGGAGAACAGCGATATATGAAGGCGAAACTGCCGCTCTACAGACTCAATAGCCCAGAAACTCCACGTGGTGTACTGTCGAACCCACGCTGAATTCGCGGTGTGCGACAGAAACGACAGTGTTCCTCCTTTTTTTCCTGTCTTCTCTCGTTCTCCATTCTCTGATAACGCTGTTCTTCGCTGAGAACCGATCCGCGTTCCCAATCAAGTTGTCGTAATATTCGGACCGGTAATCGAGGTGATAAGCGGCCAGCATTGTTCTCCGGTTTCGGGAGTGGGACGGGTGGTTCGCGAGCGGTGATCGATGATCGGTACCCTCGGGAAATGGTAAGAACAGTTCAATGAGAGCATCGTCTGCTGGCCAGCGGCTCTAGTGAAAAATCGGAAGAGGGTAGTTGAGAAGAAACGTTCGTTTAAGGTGGTGTGTGCTTCGGAACAATGGGAAAGGGTTGGAAAGGTATGTTGATTGTTTCTTTTTTTAATACTGAAACTACCGAACGATTAGAGTGACTTATTTCTGAGTTTTCGTAAACAATTGAACAATTGGTTTCTTGAGATTCGAAGGGTGTCCAAGTCTTCTAGTTGTGCAAGTACGAGAGTTTAATTAAAAATCTTTTGCAAAAATGCCTTTATAATTTAAACTTTTACGAAATAAGAATTCTGAAGGTTAATTTGACCTGTCCGGTAGTTTTAGTGTTAATTTTTGGAGCAGTGTTTGTGGAAGTTGATGCATTGTTTGTGGTGGTCGTTATTGTTGATCGTTGTTTTGGTGATAGATTTAATAGGTGAAGAGATTTTTTAGTTTATGGTCAATTTTATGTACTGGTGATGTTTTATGATCGTGTACGAGGTAGTCATGATATTGTTATTTAGCTTTGTTTTTAATGTTTTAAAGGAGATAGTTTCTGAAAAATAAATCAATTAAGTGAGATTTATTTTTATATAATTATAACGCTATCTAGTTTTTTATTTCATCGTGATTTCTATTGGATAGTAAATAATAGCTTGAAAAAAATAAACACAGTTCGGTCCAGCTGTATTTAAATACTGTTACGAATAATTAAAGTTTTGAACACTAGAACCATCGAGCGTTTAGTATGCTTAATATGTAAACTTTATAAAAATTTTAGCAAGAAATTTTGTTCAGTTTCGTCATATTTTCAATATAGAATTCAAGTGAAACTATTTATTTTTCAGATCACTTCGTATATTTAATTCTTTTAAGATGCCAATAATTGCGAGATAAGAAAAATGAAACCCATCATTTTGATAGGTGCGATAGTTCCAGTGTTAATTGATTTGTTGAAAAATAACTAAAACTGAAAATATTATAATATCTGAATCGAATACCATAAAAAAGTTCCTAATTGTTATTAAAATCTGTATATACATGTATATAAACAAATATCGTGCTATTTTCTGTCCTATCGGAATGTATGTAAATATTGAACTAATAATTCAACGGTAAGACACGCACGACGGCGATGTCTCCGTTTCAGACTGTTGGTTCGATAATAAATTACACAGGAAAATTTTTTTGTCGCTTCACGGTATACGATTCACTGCGGGCGGAGTTAACCAGCGAAAATCATTTGCACAAGTGTTATGAAAGCCGTCGCGCGCGCGTGTTCCTATTTCCCTATGGCTACTAGCCCATATCTCGATTACGCATTTACGCACGCGTTATTCTAGAGTAGCTCGTGCTTAAACCGTGTAACACCGTTAATCTCAAGAGAGAATCAAATGTGCTACGCGGTGATAATAACAATTACGCGATAGTTTCATAAGAGAACTGATAAATGGACCACTTGGTGTGCAGCCAAAAATGATATAAATTAATAAAACTTGAAAGGTCAAAAATAATGGTTTATATAAAGTTAACATTATTCGTATGTTTTATGGAAATGTAAATTCATTTGAAATATTTATTAAATTACTTTTTCGGTTGCAAGATCTCTATTTGTCATCTAATTAAAAAGTTTTAATATTTAGTTTGTTTTTTATAATAAAAAGCATAATACGATTAGAAATTCGAAAATACATAATTTGAACATTTCATTTTTAATGCAGTAAATATTGATTTAATTATTTTTACAGTAAAATGTACAATAAAAGCCACAAATTTATATTGTATTAGTTGGAAACTATGGAAAAAGGTATAGTAAATAGTTATACAGTCGAAGGTTCTTTGAATGAGAGACTTTTTGAAGTGATTTTCTTCGATAATTTTTCCAGCACACATTACACGTACAGTGTGAAGCTACTATATGTGTATTCTACTTACATTCTTGAATAATTTAATCCGTACGTTTATGATCTACGGCGATAAAGGAAAATTCATTTCCTACATCTTTGGAAATGTCCAATATCTTGAGCACCATCTATGACAATTGCGAAAGCCTTGAAATGTAATTCCAATACATTTGTTATGCGATGGAAAGCCTGACATTGTACATTTTCTCTACATCCTCCACTACATATTTTACAATAAACATTCCTCTGACATCATTTCTTCGATTGTCTTCCATTGCACAATCACTCTAAAGCATAGTAAATAAGAATAAACAAACAATAAGAAAGTATCTGTAGATCGAATTTTTAAATCTCAACACATTTTTGTAGTTGATGCGAGATAAATAAAATTTATTGGAAACTGCAAATTTAACCATTAAGATTAGAAATAACAAAAGTCAATTTATAAAAAAAATCAAAACATTGATCAAAAATCATATTACTTGTAGCCGAGTATTTACTTTTTCTTATGCCTGGCAAAGTAATAAAAAGTAATTTCCTGTTTTGGCCAATTCAATTACTTGTAGAACCTTAGGTCATAAAGATAACAAATACTCCTGCTTTATCTTTTAGACCGAAAATGTTGATTTAATTATTTTAATTGATTAATTCTAAAGTTTAAAAGCATCAAAGTCTTGAATACTGAAAAAGAAGAAAACCACGTATCATTCTCTCGGTACCTGAATAGTTAAATTATTCATTTGCAGCTTTTTACTTTAGACATCAAATCTTGAAAGAGGAATTCAATTGCAAAGGGTTAACCTTTGTATTAGCAACCGGATGCCCATTTTTATAATTTTAACTGCACATTTTGTAAAAGTTCCATGCAAATTTGACAAAATTGCATCAAATCCCTATTTTTCAACACCTATACATCAACGTGTATTTTGAAAGTATGAAATGTACGTAGAAATATTGTAACACTGAAACTCAAACGGACGCAAACATTTTGGTTTTTAATATAAGGGTTAACACTTCGTCTGCCAACGATTATTTAGCGATCTTCTAAAGACCAATGATTAGCAGCTAAAAACTGAAGAAAATTCTCAATGGCAATAGTAATTATAATTGTAAATCAATAACGCATCTCATTTAACACTTTTTCACTTAGCACAATGATTTTCCTTAAGATTATTATGTAAATAAAAATAAACAAACTTCTTTTAACGCCACAACTAGAGGAAAAATTAGGATGACATATTTCCAATTTTTTATCAAAATTGGAACAATACGTTTCTTGAATTCGAAGGGTCTACTAGACTTACACCTATGTAAATACACAAAAATTGAAAACTTTTCGTAAAACGGCCTTCATAACTTAAATACTTGCAAAATAAGAATTCTGAAATGCGTCAATTCGACCCATCTGGTCGTTTTAGTGTTAATACAATACAGTCATTGAACCTATTAATAGGCTTCCGATAGATAAAGCGTCACGATATCTTTATCAGCTGTAACAAAATTATACAATTTATTAAACGATTACGTATAATTTTTAGTTTTTCTCATTTTCCATTCAGGCGCGAAAGATTTCGTCGGCATGGAGGAGGTGACGAAGGTTGATTTTCTGGTGATGATGTTCGGCGAAGCCCTGGGAACGTTTCTTCTGGTGTTGATCGGTTGCGCCTCCTGTATCACGTGGTCCAACAATCCACCCACAGTGGTGCACATCGCGTTCACCTTTGGCCTTGCTGTTGCCAGTCTGGCGCACGTAAGTCAATCGCTCTTTACGTAATTATTTACTAGAAGGAAGCTCCCGAGGCTTGTCAACACGAAATTATTACACACTCGCCTTCATACGTCATGTTATTTGTGACGTTGCACGTGCATCTCGGTGAAGTTACGTCGTTGAACGTGTCGCCGATAATGTTGCATTCTATTCTGATAATGATGAAATAAACTCGTTGATACTTGACAGGACATTTCTCATGCGACTCTGAACCGAATATTTATTACAAACTTATAATTAGTATGCAGAGAATGATTTGTGTAAAATGCAACGATTTTTCCTTTTGAAATATTGACGTTAAGAAAGAGGACACCGAATGTGTATTTATTACGTACATTGATTAATATGATTTTAATTGAGCCTGCAATAAAAAAATAGGCATTCTTTACGCATACATAAATTTTGTTTTAACAGCGATAACCATATTGAGGATAGTTTTGTATTTTTTAAATTCTTTCCTTGATTAAGACTATTTTTTTCTTACATAATTTTAATGCATTCGAAGTAACTACAAAAATGTCAAGAATTGTAACTTTAAAATATAATAAAATGTAACAGGTATTGTAAGAATGTTTATTGTAAAATACGTTTCATTGTGTCTTGAAACAAATATTTTATAAATGCATGAATATTTGGGAATTAAAAATGTTCTAATAGAATCAAACATCGAGAACGCAACTCTGTGTAGGTACATCAACTAATAAATGCGTAAATTGGTAAATAAAGTTGTTTATTGTCATTCCGCTTCAACTGATTCACGAGAGTTTGATGTAAAAAAGAACTGTGACTGTTACATTTCCATTAAAACAATTGCATTGTGCAGAAACCTCACTGTATTTCTGATGGAAGATAAATACTAAAAGCATTGCTGATATTGCATCGACATATCTGTTACCTACTTTCCTCGTACATTATACTTCGAACATTCACAGAAGAAGATAACATACAAAATGTACTATACTAATTTTTCTAATGGATTGACATGTCTATCCTTAATTGACTTGTCTAACAAAACTCTACCGTTTCTATCTCTTTCTTATACCTAAATCGATATTACGGATTATGCGATTATTCTCTTTTAAACTATTTTATTACACTATGAGAACTGGAAAAAATTGTTATTAAATAATTTGTCGTTTATGGTAAAATTATGGTAAAGTTATTTTGATGGAGCGAACGTAAAAATATCTAGAGATAATTTCAAATTCATGTTAAATAATAATTTTAATTATATAGGTTCTCTGTAACTGTTTATATTAGTTTGGAATATTTCCCATTAAACAGAACTTTATTTTTACCTACTAAACGAACCCAAATTTTGTAGTTTACTATAATTGATATATAAATAATTACCAATAGAGTATAAAGCAGAACTATCAACCGAACGAAGTGAAGCAATATATTTACAAATAAACAATTATCACAGAAATAAAAACTCGTTGTCGTAAACAAGGAAGTTGTTGGAATGCGACTTCACGCTATGGCGCATAGTAAATGATAGTGCGTAGTGGAAAAGGTGACACGTGTTGTAGAAGTGTCTGGTTGCCTCTCGTGGATGTGAATCATCATTTAGTTGCTTGGTCAGGTTTTGTCAAATATAAACATGTATTTTAAATAATAAGTAACTGCGAAGTTAAGTTTCTTTAGAACATTGAACGAATTTTTTATCATCTTTTTATCTACTAACTTGTGGTTAGGTCTTGGTTAGGTCTTGGTTAGGTCTTCTTATCTACTAGCTTGTGGTTACAACATCCTGCATACTTAATTTTTAAATTGTTATTCACTGTACTGATTATTAATGGTTTTCTGTAATTCTGAATCGTTAATACTGTTAATTTTGATAAATGGAGTGAACTTGACTAAGGAATTTTTGCTGCGTAACAGAAGAAATTCGTGATTCCCCAATACGTTTCCATAAAACGTTTTATATATCAAAGTTTCGATTATGACATTTTGACAAATACTTCTAGTTCGAAGTTTAGAGAACATATCGAATTTAATGTTCGTTTTCAGCAAAGTAATTTTCTTCGAGGCCAATATACATAGTATTACAAAATTAGTGAATTGTATAAATTTGCAAAAACCTTTATTACAAATACATTATTATTTCTCTAATATTTCTAAATTTCTCACTATATCTACATTCACTTCACTGCAATTTACGTCGAACTTATATAGTAAAATTTCAGTAAGTACACATTAATATTAAAAAATTAATATGCAAGTATTTGAGCTCAAAATATATAATTAACACGTTGAATGCCATGGGGGTTATTAATGACCCCTACCAAATTAAATTATTATAATTCACTGAATTAAACGGTGATTATTTAAACACATTTGTATATTATACATAATATTACAATAACGTGCAATAACAATAATGTACTTCAATTCAATAATTCAATATTATATCTTCTTTCACTTCGTATATTTTGTTGCGTGAAATTGTGCAGTTCTCAATATGTTAAATACAGTACAAAAATTACAAATCGTTCTAATAACTTCAAGACAGTCTTAACACGTTCGTGACCAGAGTTTATTTCAGCAGCAATCTGTGTAGTTATAATAGTTTATTGAATGCAACAAGTTGTCTTTATAAAATACAAATGAAATTTAAGAAAAGAATCCGGTTCAACTTCCTCCACATTACACGTTTTACATCTTCCATATTACACGTCTTTACGCAAGATGCAAAATGTAGAGCGTCACAAATATATAACGCTGGTCGCGAAATTGTTAAGCTAATTGCCGCAAGTTTGTAACGCTAAAATAAGGACAATAATTAGGAAATATGTTTTGAAATATTGGTCTTGTAACGATCTACTGTTTGAAATGAAGAATCTTTCGTTACGGAAGATATTTGAAAAGACATGAATTCGCGTCAGCGGTTGCGAATGTGTTGAATAAAAAAGGGAAAGAAAGAATATCAAATAAACCGGAACGATTTACTAAAATTTCGGCAACCTTCACACTCTCGTGTTCAGATGTACTTACGTTACAAGCGTGATAAATTATTTACCACCTCGCGTTTATCTGATTTCATTGAATGGATAAAAGCAATCGTGTTCTCGGCTCGTCCCATAAGAACTGGTCGGTCAGTGGATGGTAAGGGGGCAAGGGGGATCCCATTCACTTCGCTAAACTGCCGTGTCGCTCGAAGTTTCACGAACAGACTTGATTCCATTACTCTTGTTATCGTTCGTTCACTCGTCCGTGACGTTATGTTTTTTTCGATTAGCAAATTGGGAATTAATTTGTAGCGTCGATAAGCCGGCATGTAGACATTATTCAATGTCCGGGCTGAACGCAGCCGAACATTGTAAAGCTTTTTACCTAAATTTACTCCTTCTCCTACGTCGAACGTGTTCGTAATAAGTAGATCATCTTACAGCTTTTTAAACGATTTTTCAAATTTGTTATTGTGACCATCGGATGCAACTGAACTATGATAAGTGCGAGTTGATAAAAATTGCCTGTGGACACTTCTGAGGTACAATGTTTTTTATTTTATAAATGATTATACTTTTATGTTCTATTTGTTTTATGTCATTTTTGTAAAATACTGTCGATTTTTATTATTCTAAAATGCTACTTGTGTCATTATAGTTTATTTGAAATCTGGAACGTAAGGTCTTTTAAGTTGCTTAGTATTGATGTTTTTATGGAAATAGATTTTCAAATTAGACTTCCTAAGATCGCTTATGATTTATTTTTTGTTGATACATTTACGAGTTCTAGGAATAACTTTTATATTCTATTAATATACTTACATAATGCCTCGAGTAACAAAATGGTAGTTAAGTGTTGAGATTTTTCATATTTTTACTTTACTCGCGAGGTAATAAAATCAAATCACGTTTTCTCCGGCCGTTTATACGCAGCAGATGTTACCAAATTAGTTAACATTTGAAGTACAGTGTAATTCTGAGAATGATGATTGGAAACATAGATATCAATTGATTAATGACCTCGCGCGAAATTAATCTGACATTAGAAATTTGATCTTACTTTGCTTCGACGTCCCTTGATTGTATAAATTAGTAGTTGTAACGACAGTGTAAATTACGTCAACGTTGCTAAACAAAACAATTTTAAACGTTTGTTACCAATTCTTTTCCTTGTATGCAAATAAATTCTGTTTGATTGGTTACAACATTCTCGTATCTTCAAGAATATTTAAAATCCACTTAACTAAATTAACTTTCATAAATTAACATAAATTATATGTTAGGCTTCTATAATTAGTTTCGTATATTTTTCTGTGTACGTTTTCATGTTTATGCAATTTTATTGTTTTCTTTTTTAATTTTGTTCCTTTTATTTACGCTATTATATCTTCAACATTTTTGTTAAATATTTCTCTTATAGGTCAAACTACTGCTCTTACCTAAATTATCATTATTATTATCGTTGTCGTTGTTGCTACTGGCTTCAAGTTTGTTAAACCATACGTGTAACATTTCTTTTTATAACATTCTATCATCTTTCATTACATATATACTGCAATGTAAATGTCATATTTAAAAAAAAAGACATATTTTCCACAGAAGCGATTTTGCGTGTACTGCATCCGTTGTAACACCGAAATAAATCAAAGCTTACCAACCATCGTGCAGTGAAGTTGAAGCACCGAGTGCTAATAACTCAACATGCAAAATTATATCATACCATGTACCGTTAAACGAAGTAAATTTCTTGAAATGTGACCTATTTTCTCCTTCGGAACGTCATTTCCCTCCCTACTCAATGCAAAGTTTCGCAATTTGTCTCAGTGACTAATGGAAACAAACCAACGATAAATTTTGCATATCATAAGCCTTACATCCTGCTTCTCGTAGAATTTTACATGATAATCACAGCGGATCCCTTATCGATTTTCACCGCTACAATTGTTGAAAACATGGTTGCACAGTGTGTAAACTGTTTCGATTTATTTAATTAGGATTTTTGTTTTTAATTTGTATTGGTTGAGCACTTTA